TTCCCAACGAAGTCTTTTGACAAGGATCGAAAACACTTTTTAAATATAAGAGTCAAAAGTTATGGCCGAGATCAAAGCTAGTTTTCCAAAAGTAGGTCAAACTCCAAGGTCACAAGGCCTTCCGACACGAAATACAAGTGAAATATGAAAGATCGAGCAAGAAGCGTTGGAAAGGTGTGGCCAAATTTAAAGTTAATGTTTTTTGCGGACAGACAAACAGATAGACATAAATTATAAACACCAGAATCTCCGATCACAGTCATAAAAATTTACTTTGAAAAATACTGTAAAACTAGTATATCTCTGATGTCAAACCTAAAAAAATGTTTCCTTTTTGTGCTTTAAAGATAAAATCATTTTTTTGCAGTTGAGTGTTAAAATAATGTTTGAAAATATCCATGTAGATTTTGTAATGTGTCGCAACTTATTTCTCAGTATTTATGAAAGTCCTCATTTAAACGTTCATAAAACTTGACGAATAGCTGTAATACATTGATTAAAAGCAATTGAAAAATATATTCATGACTTTCTCATCTTTGCTCCTAGCAGGAAACTTAAGTCACTTCTTGTATATGGCGTATACATTAAAAACAGTGATCGGAAAATACATGAACAAAACTTCATATACACATGAATAATATATTTTCGATTATAAGAATACTACAGGCATTGAGTCATCAACTAAAAACAACACAGCTTTTGTTATACCCGGTTTGCCGATTTTCCTGCTTGAATTATATATATAAGAACAAGAAAGATTCATTTTTTTTAAAGGTTCCAGTTACTAAAAATCATGCCCGTGGTATTAACCCTTTTGTTTTTAAGAGTAAATACCATTGAATAAGAAAGAGAAAACGTTTCAATTCTGACTAGATCCGTAATTTTGATACTTTCGAATTTCAAATAACTTTCCAACTTGCTGTACATTTCCAACGTTACTTTTTGTCAGAGAGATGGCCTATTCAATTAGTTCTTACACAGATTAACGGTTGTTTCTTTATTCAGAATATACATTGAAACTTAATTCTGGGGAAAAAATACTCAGTGCACATTTATATTGGGAATGGGTCTTTAGAATCCCATGTCTATCAGAGGAAGCTGGATTAAATTTTGTGTAAATGTGTTAAATGAAATATATGGTGATAACGAACAGTATTCAAGCTCAAAAGTCCATAAAACAATACAAAATAGGGGCAGAGCAAACACGGACCTCCAAACATCAGAGGTGGGATCAGGTGCCATGGATGAGTGAGCATCCCCTGCCGACCGGTCACACCCGCCGTGTGCTCCTTGTCATGATCGGGAAATAACGGAAAAATCCGTCGACAATTCAGTGTGTAAATAATGGCTTAACAATTAGTATGAAAAACGTCAGGCAGCATTTGACTCAATGATAAATTGTATTTGCTGACAAGGTCATTGTATCGACCATAAAACTTACGAAATGATGACTTTAAACGAGACAGCTGATATTCTTTGTCTCATCAACTTATTTGTCAATAATTTACCTCGTTTTAGAAATTGTACATACGTAGAGCATTCTCTTGCGTATCGAATCAGCTCAGAGATATATACCGCGTATGCAGGTGATGAAGGTGTATTGCTGCATAAGTAAGGGAAGTTGACGATTGAAAAGTTAAAGTCATCACATTTATCACAAAGCTTGGTTGTTAGATTACCATTAACGTCTTTTTCAAGTAAAATATCCAAATATGAAACAGATGTGTCAGACTCTGTGGTATCTTTTATCTCAAGTTCACCAGGATATATCGTATCGACATAAGAATGGAAATAGCCATTGTTTATTGGCAATACGTCGTCGATATATCTAAATGTCGAGTTGAAGGCCACAGCAAGTGTTTTCTTCTTTTCACGTACAAGATTTTGGACAAATTCTGCTTCATATGAATACAAAAAAAGGTCTGCTAATAACGGGGCGCAATTGGTACCCATGGGAATTCCAATAGATTGTTGGAAGACCTGGTCTCCAAAAACCACATAGATATTGTCAATCAGAAACTCAAGCATCTTTTTAATGTCAACTTCAGAGTACTTGTGTGTACAATCAGAATGTTTTTTAACAAAATAATTTTGCAAATGACCAATGACAAGGTAAGTATATGTACGAGTTCCATTTTTATTGAAAAAGCAGCTGTCAATGATCTCAAAAAGCTTGGACTTTAATTTATCGTGGGGAATGGTTGTGTATAAAGTTGAAGAGTCGTAAGTTTTTAAGCTGTTGATTTTGGTAAAATCTTGTGATTTCAAATTTTCCAAAAGTTCCTTGGAATTTTTAAGTATCCACATCTGATTTACACCACTTCTCGAATATATTGTTGCACAGTACTCTTGTTAAATGATGCTTTTAATTTTTTGTTTTACATTTTCACGCCCCGCCACACCCCTACCCCTTCTGCATTCTATACATGCTGGATGTGAACGGCAAAAGTTATTCAAAAAGCATTTAATAGCTCTGTATAACAGACTATATTTATATCACACCAACTGTTAGGCCATAATTTACACACTGAAATTTCTACTGATTTCTACGTTTACCCGAAAATGACAAGGAGCACACAGCGAGTGTTACTGGTCGACAGGGGATGCTTCCATATTTCGTCTATATAACATTTGCCTATCCATACCAGTGCGTCTTTGTCGGTATTTATTAGTATTAATCTTTAAAGAATGCAATTTTTTCTGTGTTGCGATGCACCCCTTTCTTAAAAACTGTTAATCATTTATGCATTCACACTTGTTATCTCTTTTTATCTAGAAAAAATTGTTTAGCTGTAATAAGTTATGATAGTTATTGAAAACAATATTCATATCTGGAATTACAACTCATGAATATTGAATCAATTTCATTATTGTTGCAAGGAGGATGTTGAAGAAATCTTCCGTAACAAACACAGAACACAGTCTCCTTCATGAGCATCAGAGATATTTGAATTTTTAACACTAGATGGTTACGAACAACCTTGGTTTGCAATCTAATGTGAAGCATATTAACAATTAACCATTAAAGTATTGGTTAGACAATATTGCAATACAAAACAGTTAAGCAAACGTGTAAACGGTTTATTTGTTTGATATTATGGGAAATGCACTGACTAGCTTCCTTCCTCGAAAGGTAAGTGATTAAAGGAAAAACGCATCCATTACAATTTGAGCAAGGTGAACGAGACGGGTGAACGAAACTATATAGCGTGATCTGGAATGACGTATTGTTCTGGTACGTGGTTTGGTTCTATTAATTTGCATATTTTGATTAAAGAAATATCAGCTTTGAGATTATCATTGTTCACTTATATAGATATATTTTCTCATTTTGAAATTGAAATGCAATCTATTTTCATCCGTGGGTCATGTGCATTCCAAAAATTCTTCTCTTTCATACTTTAAATATATGAACATTAATATTTTACCATGACATGATGACAGGAATGTTTTGATGATCTTAATTAGAAAGTTTCATTTTCAAACCTTTATTTTATTATTTTTTTTATTTTTATTATTTATTTATTTATTTATTTTTTATTTTTTTATTTTTGAGGAGGTGGTGGTAGTGGTGGTGATAAACCCAAAGAACAACGGTCAACAATAACTTCATGTGAAATCAACAAGTCAGTATTGAATATGCTAATTTATTTGTACCAAATGTTTGACTCTAAGCATTTGTAGAAAATGACAATGTACATGTCACTCTAACCTATTGCTATAAGGATTTCTCAGTTTGTACGTAGAAACTTTCGTCGTTTCCAATGTGTTTTCCTTGTTTTATCCGACCACGTTGTCTATGGAATGATTTCGATCTTATTTACTCCTGACAAAAGACTGTCTGGATTTGTTATGGGAAAAAATACCCCCCATCGGAAAATAGATGTGCGTTAAAGAGAATGCAAAGAGGGTACCTTGTGCTTCGATTAATTTTCTTGGAGACCAGTTGGAATGCGAGTTATCCTTCAGTGATGGATCAACATATTCGTCGCATCTGACAACTGATAAAGAATATGTCTATATTGAGAGAAAATAAATACCACAGGTATTCTAAACTTTAAGAATTTTATTTACTATTTTTCTAGAAATTACTGCACATGTGTAGCCTTTTTGAAAATGTTCATCATTTTTGATAAATCTTAATTGATTATTTTACTACGCTTAAACAAAGTTGTCAAATTAATAGCAAGATTCCATAATGGAGATATTATGTTTAGTTGAACAAATTTGACTATACACTACCTGTTTTCATTTCAGGGTATGTCTGGGGAAAATCTGGGAGAGAAAATGGATAAAAAAAACTTAACGTTTTGAACTTTCGTCTTCATTGATTTAAAAAAAATCCCTATATTATTATTTTAGTATGGGGCTTTTTTTATCAATGAAGAGACAGGTTTAAAACATCAAGAAAAAAGTGTCCTATTATAAAATACTTAAAGTGGGCAATTATTATAAAATTGGTATGATCCAAGGGTCATTACCCTGACGTCAAACATAGTAAATAATTATACAAATAAATCTGTATCGGTTCTAATACCCCCCTCCCCCCATGGAAAAATAGTATTGAAACATCAAACCATTTGTGAAATTTGGTTTCTAAATGGACTAGAAATGAAACCTATTACCATCTTCATGTATGTTAAAATAACTAGTGTAAATAGATAAATGAACATGCGATCTTACTTTTTTAAAATTCAAGTTAAACTCTTCTTGTTGAAAATATGAGTCAATATGCACGTGCGAGATAATTTACTTTTAACATTTAAAAATACCTACACACTGGTCTACTTATGTTTTCTTCTCAGGTACTTCAGCAGCTGGATATTTACATTGCTTTTAAAAAACTCTAAACTCAAAGAACTACAACCTATCGGCTTCTTACAATACCGTATTGTGTTACGTAACAAATATCATCTGAAGAAATTGAACTTTTTGTTGATTGACAATAAACAATTCTTTTAATTGATTTTTGTAACCGACATAAAGGACGTATGTACTACTTAACAAATAATCGCATAAAATATATTTTACAGAGAAGAAACGTACGTAAATGGCGACTAGTGCTGTTTTTATTATATTTTTCCTTATTTCATTCGGACATGATGTTGATGGAGGGACTTATGGCATATTTACCCCCGACCTTCGTCTGTCAGGATTTGTCATGGAGAAAATTGTCCCAATCGGAATGGAGATGTGTGTTAGGGAGTGTTCGAAAAGGGTTTCATGTGCTTCGTTAAATTTTCAGAGAAGTAGTTTGGAGTGTGAACTGTCCTTCAGCGACGACTCAGAAAATCCGTCTGATCTGACATCAGACTTGAAATACATCTACGTCAGTCGAAGTCAAATCCCAACGGTATCAATCCAGATTAATTGAACGCTTCCTTTATGTACATTTTTTTAATTAAAGTTTTTTAAGGTTAACATCTAAAATCTACATTTTATATTAATTAAAATTAATTATCTGAATTGTCAAAGAAAATCTTCAGTGCCAGTACAATAATTAAATTCATATATGTAGAAAAATACATATATACATGTATATATTAAATACGTTATGAAAAATTGTAATTTTTTCTCCTTAATATTACAGTACTGTTAAATCTTATTGATGTTGTTTAAAAATCACATATATTACTTTTTAAATAATTTGAAAAATGCCTGATCTCGAGATAATATTTTGATAAAATTTAGTAGATGGAATTAGAAGCCAGTATCTATATAAATATACTTAATATATCTAGTGTCTTATGAACAGTTAAAAATCTGGTGTCTAAGATATGTAGTCTACAAAAATATGTACATGTAGAATAAGTTTGCATTTATAAAAAATTTTATTCAATTTAATTTATTTATTTATTTATTTATTTATTTTTGCATTTCTATCCTTTTAGGAATACTCTGAGTCTTGTAATGCATCGTGCTCACTTCAAGAGAGATGCGTATCCGCCGCTTCCGGCCCTAAGTGCGTCACATCAGGTTTGAATTTATATTTCCTTGCGTTGTCCAGAATTTTGTTTGAACAATCTTTAGAAATAGATATAGTAAAATGCATTCAATATTTCTCACAGAATCTGAAAATTTTACCGTTTTCTTTTAGTTATAAATTTTCTCTATTTTGGAATTTTTAATCATTGATAATGTACCTGGTTTTGGTTTTCAGTAATTTGATTGTGTACCATACTAAAAACAATTAAACTTTGAAAAAATATTTTAATTATCAGCCAAGTTTCTATTTCTTTATAATTATAAAATGTCAGATAGTAAAAAACGAAGATTTCCATAACATCATTATAAGAATCCTTTGAATGTGAATGGTACTACAAATATCAATTTATTTGTTTATTGCTGCGAAAGAACAAATTTAATTTCAGGAAAAACCCTTGTCGTGCGTTAAAAAAAATGAACTTTATCTTTTTTTTATTACTTAAGACTGCCCCGATCTTCATCCTGACGCGACCATCTCTTCGGTCATGGTCACAGCCACCAAGGTCGGTACTGTCCTTACCTACACCTGTAACTCTGACCCCTCTATAACCTTGACCTCTACCTGCAGGAGTAATGGGACCTGGTCATCGTCAGCCTATCTATGTGGACAACAATCTTACCCGCCAGGTATTTTTTCTTTACATCCATGCTGTCTTTGTCAATTCCGTCTAGAGTTGACATAAAAACTATTATAGTAAGAATAAAACGGATATTTTATGGAACGCAGATAAACATATATGAAAATATTTGTACCGATCTTCAGATCAGTTGCACATATCTCCAAATGCATTGAAGATAGGTTCAATTCAGTTATACCTATCTTTAATTCATTTGGAGATAGGTTCAACTGATTTAAAGATAGGTTTACCTGAATTAAAGATAGGTACAAATACAAAAAATTAAAGATAGATATAATTGATTTAAAGATAAGTGCAAACAAATTTAACTTAGGTAAAATTGATTTATACCATATCTTCAAATTCTTTGTGGAGATTATTAATAGTACCTATCTATAAATCAATTGTACCTATGTTTAAATCAATTGTACCAATCCCCAAATAAATTAAAGATAGGTATAATTCAATTGAACCTATCTTTAATGAAATTAAAGATAGGTGTAATTCATTTGAACATATAGGTTCAATTATTTGAAGAGAGGTGTTATTATTTACACCTATCTTTAATTCATTTAGACTTATTTTTAATTCAATTGTACATATATTCAATGAATTTGAAGATAGGTTCAATCATTTGAAGATAGGTACAATTAATTGATTTGTGCCTAACTTCAACTATTTGTACCTTTCTTCGAATCAATTGTAACTATCTCCAAATGAATTGAAGATAGTTTTAATTCAATTATACCCATCCTTAATTCATTTGGAGATAGGTACAATAGATTTGAATATAGGTATAATTGAATTGAAGATAGGCACAAATACCAAGAATTAAAGATAGTTTTAATTGATTTAAAGATAGGTGCAATTGAATCGAACCTAGGTTTAATTGATTTGTACCTATCTTCAAATTCTTTGTGGAAATGTTTTAATTGTACTATCTGTCTTTAAATCAGTTTTACCTATCTTCCAATGAATTAAAGATAGGTATAATTCAATTGAACCTATCTTTAATTGAATTGAACCTTTCTGTAAAAGAATTAACTATAGGTTTAATTTTTTTGAACCTAGGTTAAATTATTTAAAGATAGGTGTAATTATTTAGACCTGTCTTTAATTCATTTAGACCTATCTTCAATTCATTTGAAGATAGGTTCAATTATTTGAAATAGGTACAAATATTTGAAGATAGTTATACATATTTGAAGAAAAGTACAAATATTTTAATATATGTTAATTTGGCCTTCCACAGTATTTACGTATATATACATATATATACATATAGACATATCAGAATAGAATTTCTGACTAAAAAGTGGCTTTGAAAAGTTGATAATCCAGACACGATCGACATATTTCTTTCATATCTTTCATGTTTGTTTAGTGTAAAAGGAGAATAAAAATTTATCACACAAGTTAAATATTTACTAAATCGATACATGTTGCTTGAAATCTTGTTTATTTATCAATTATTTTTCACTGCATTCTGGGTTAATAATAAATTTCTTATTTCCTATTGATGATTTTCTGCTTCATTTAATGCAAGAAATGACACGTGCTGTTCTCATTCTCATGGTAGTGATACTACTCATTGACAAAACATTGGAAAATGACTATACTTTTGAGTAACTTCCACTCTCTCTCTTTCAGATTGCTTTAATACCACGAATTCTTGTTGGTACAAGTACAACTTTACGCATGACACAGCGTGGAATGGATGTCCCGGTGGTCCAAAATACGTCAAGAAAACTCAGTTTGTGTCCGCTCCACTGGTTGGCGTAGTTCTCTGCAATTCTACAAGGTAAAAAAAAAAAATATTTCTACTCACATAGGTTAAAAATCACTTAAGGGGAGATAAAATTCTAAATATTGATAATAAAACTAGACTTGTCTTATTGATACATTGACTTTTGTTAATCCGATTTCTAATATTTAGTACTTAGTTTTTCTTCCAGATTGGCTATTACCAAAAAACATTTATTTAAAAAAAACTATTTCACTTCATTTAAAAAAAAAATATACAATTAAAGCGGGAAAAGGTTTTTGCGTCGTTGAAATATCTTGCCAGGTAAAGGAATAAGGATTTAAAAAAAAAAACCTGAAGAAAAAAACCTCGGTAAAATCATTGGTAAAATAAAGACTAGCTTCTCCTGCTTGCTCCTGCAGTCAATCTTAATTCCTCTTTGCGTGAATATACTTTCGAAGAGAGAATACAAAATCCTCGTTTTTTTCCCCAAATCATTACAGCAGAAGAAAAAATGTCTACACTTTTTAATTTTATTTTGGAAAATGTAGTTCACAGAAAAATACGGTAAATGTAGTAACTATCAAAAGACTTTTTTAAAATCAAAATAGGAAAATATTTATTACCCATATAGAAAAATTCATGCTGTATTTGTTTCTTATTACCAGGTACAAAATATTTCTGGGAGCTAATTTGACCGACACATTTTTGAATGTTGGTGATGGCAATGGTCATGGTGCCGACCACTGTGAACTGGTAGGGGGACTAGAAGCTGATGCCGTCCTAGCTGGAGACTATATGAGTTCCCCCGAACTAACTGGTGAGTATAGAAAGTGTGTGAGTTTCTCTAAGTATAGGCTTTGAAGGGATCCCTTGGAGGGGACAACAGAAAAAAATTGAAAATCCCAGGAAAATGATATCAGAGATTACTAGTACATAATTTTTTTTTAACTTTAACAATTGTTATAATATACAAAGTACTGTGAACCTTTTTCATATTTAAGGTTAAATTTCGGTTGATATTTTATCAATAAATATACCATGACACGATTTTGTTTTTGTTTTTTGTTTTGTTTTGGTTTTTTTTTTTTTGGTTTGTTTGCTTGTTTTGTCTTTTATTTTCACCTTTCTCACAAAAATATTTTTAAAGACGATTTCTTTGATTTGCATCACATTTAAAATCTTTTTACATCTTTTCTGGATAGGCATCTGTGACCATATTAGATTCTGTTAGATTACTTTCTCTATATTTTTATACCCCCATAATCGAAGATTCGGAGGCATATAGTTTTTGTTCTGTCCGCCCGTCTGTTTATTTCTTTGCACGTCCTCAAAGACGTTAACCTTGCCCACGACTTTTGATTGGTTGGAGCTATGGCTTTCCTATTTCATGTGTATTCCATGTGACAAGACCTTTCTTTGGGTATCAACATATTTGACCTCTTGACCTTGACGTTTGACCCATTTTTGCAAAATTTTACAAAAACTTAACCTTGGCGATAATTTTTGGTGCTAGGGCTTTCATACTTCATATATTTTTTTTTCTCCATGTTGATTCTTTGTACCAAGAATTTTGACACTTTGACCTTGATCTTGAAGACTCAGTTTTGAAAAACTTTAGAACAGTTGGTGCTAGGGCTTTCATATTTCACAGGTGTATTCCTTTTGAATGAAAAGACCTTTCTTTGGGTACCAACATGTTTGATCTCTTGACTTTGACCTTGGAGTTTGACTTGCATTTGAGAAACTTTAACCTTCGCCATGAGCTGTCACACGGAGGCATCAGTGTTTCACAAACACATTTTTTCTTTTGTTTATCTTTTTTCCCCCATGCAGAATACGTAATCTTAAAATTTCCAGCTACCTTTTGAAAGAAAATGAAAATATAACAATTTGTGAATTTTCTTTTAGGGTATGCCCGCAGTGGTTTGGGTGAGGAATTCTTTATGGACACTTTATCTGGGGCCACCGGTTGGTGGACTGATTCCTGGTACGAATGTGGCATAGAGATACCTGGTCCCCAGGAACCACGTGAGTACAATTAAATATTTTGACAGGCCTATCTATATTTGTGCAAGATTTAAAATGTTTACTTTTGGTACACTACTGTGATAAATGAACTTTTTTGTATGACAGCGTGTATGTCGGCCTCGCCTCCTTGTTGGTATGCTTACAAGGTGCCCGTGGACGAGTCCTTTAATGGATGTAGCGGTGGAAAGACAGTAGTCAAGAAAACAAACTTCACCTCGGCTCCTTATCTCGCTGTAGTCTTGTGTAATAGTACAAGGTACGAATAAAATAAAAACCAATTAAGTTAGGGTTTCACATCAAAATGGGGGGGGGGGGGGAGGGGGGCTATGGTAATCACTGTGTCCGTCTGTCCGTCGTTCCTTTATCCGTCTATCGAAACGTGATGCTTTTACTTGCGTTTTCCTCCTTACAGATTATTTCTATTTACTGCATAGGAAAAAGTACTATATAGTAAATAATGGCTAAAAAAAATACCTATAGAGTTTTGGGACACACTAACAAAATTAAAGGTCAGAAGGTTAAGTTTATTGATGTTGATCTTCAAATCAATGATTATTTCATATTAACAGAACAGGTAAAGGGTGCCGTGGTTATAGGAAAACAACTATGGATTTTGAGGTATAATTTTGATGAAAAAGATTTTTATAAGGCTAGTCTGATGAGTAAAATTTTGTGAAAAATGCCAATCAAGCCAACATGATATCATATAAATGTCGTACATGGTAAATAAACTGAAGACATCAAGGAGTGAATATACATGTACTATGTTTAGCGAGATCAGAATCACACCATAATACACTTTTAAACACTGAAGTTATTTCGTCTTTATAAGCACCCCGTTCACATGTGAGTACAATTAATATTTCAAAAGTTATACAGCTGGTAGTTAATGACCTATGGGCATCATATTGATTACATACTAGAAACAACCCACATTGATCACTTTGCCTAGCCAGCATACTTTGATTAATCAAAATAAGTTTAATAACCTAACTCCTTTAAATAATTCATTTTTTTGTTTTGTTTTTTGTTTTTTGGGAAAGCAGTTTCTTGTCTTTCAACCTGCTGTCAGTTGTTCAACTTACCTATATTTTAGATACAAGTTTTTCCTTGGTGCAAACTTAACGACGACGTTCTTAAACATTGGGGATGGGAGCGGATCTGGAGAGGATCAATGTGAACTTGTAGGCGGATCCGAAACTTCTGCAGTAGTAGCAGGAGACTTTGCATCTTCTCCAGCAGTCACGGGTATATATTTACAATGTAGAATTTTCTTTGACTTGAGCTACACATGAGAGAGAGAGAGAAAGAGAGAGAGAGCAATTTTCCTTAAAAATTATCCTAACACAAGATAAATCCGATTTCCAGGTTACTATCGGAGGTATGTGGGGGAGGAGTTTACCGTCGGGAACATTGGATACATGCAGTCATCCTACCATTTCAACACCTACCTGGAGTGTGGAGTAGCAATCCCAGGAACTGACCCTGTAGTCTTCTAATTGGATTAAATCTCATATACACTAGCAAAAATTTCCTTTTTTATTTTCATAGTTTGCCACAGGACAATTATTTTTTCTGCAATCAAAATGTTTGACGTTTTCCATATAGTGAATTGTTAAATATATATTGAAAACCTTTGAATTCTCTCTACAAGTTCCTGTCCCTTGGAGATTTTGCAGCATTTAGGATTTAAACATATACATTTGTACAATATATATATTGAGCCCTGAAGTTCCGTGAAATTTTGACCTATTTTATCTTAAATTCGCCACAACAAAATGACGAGAGATCTAGACATCTAGAGAGCGAAAAGAAGCAGGAGAGTTAGTTTATCCCATTATTCTGCATTCACTAATTTGTAACAATTGGAAGTTTGACTTCATATCTTATAAAAATACATTGCAACTCTATATGTTCTTTCACCGTGCTCATGTCCTGTCTTACATATTTTCTTTGTATGCTTTGTGAATCTCCTACAAGTGGCCAATGTTAGCGGATGTCCAGTATCATAGCCTCTAGCGACAGGCGTTGTTGATGTTTCAAAATGCGTTTATAGTGCTATAAACTGGTTGTGAAATACTGGAACTCGTCGTGATAAAATATATCAACAATTTTAATGTGAAAAAATATGCTTTAGCTATTTCCTAATTCTTTTTATAATACATGTACATGTAATATAAAGAAAACTTTCTGGAATATTAATAGTTTCTTGAAGCGTGTATTACAATAAATTCTTTAATACCAGTGAATTTCTCATTTTCATTGATAGCTGTGTTAATAACAAAGTGCATGTATTCTCATGAGTAAGGAGAAACACGGGGTTTTGGAACTGAATAAAATTCAAAATTTAATGTTTAAGTACTGGTCCATCTAAGAATCAGGAAATAGAAACAATTTTTTTTTCTAAAAATGCGCCTCCTCGTTGTGATATATGTATGTTACTTTAGATAAATTTATAGGCCAAAATGTCAACACCCCAAGAAAAGACGAAGTTGTTCAGAATTAACAAGTGTTATTGTTTTTCATGAATTATCAAACCCTATTTTATTTCGAAAGGAGTATGTATCATTAACTTTATCATTAACTTTTTGTAATAGTTATCATGGAGTCGATATCTAGGTTGGATCCATAGTAACCATTGTAATTTTAAAATGTCAAGGCATTTTGGATAATACAAGCATCGTGAATTCAAAACACTATTAATGAAATAACAAAATGTACTTAGAATGAAGAAGGTGTACTTAGAATGAAGAAGATGTACTTAGGATGAGGAAGGTGTACTTAAGATGCGGAAGAAGAGATGTACTTAGAAAAAAAGGAGAGTCGATTGGATTTTTAAGGCGGATCTGACTAGATGTACAGTTGCTGGGATTTTATTTTAATATTCACGCCCCCTTCTCTGGCTTTGCAATTTTCCAAATTTCCTTTTGAATATGTAGGTACACTGTTTATTGAATTTTTATACAATTCTTATCCATCCTTGAGCGGATGATGTGCCCTGATTTGATTCAAGGTTATATTTCAAAAGCAGGCCTGTAGGAAGCAATTTCGGGGCGGGGAGGGGAGGGGGCACAACCCAACAGAAATTCTTGACCAAAAAAAAAATCAGCAGACGTTTTCTAGGAGGCACAACCGTGAATTAACTTTGTTCTTTCAATGTATAAATACTGGCAAAATCATTGTGAGGCTACAGCTGAAATTAGCTTTGTTTTCTATAGTAAAGGATATACTGGCAAAATTATGGCGGGGGGTATCCCCGTGCCCCCTCCCCTGGTACCTACGGTCCTGAAATGTCAAGGACATTGATGCTGTATTGTGAAATTCTGCTTTGCTTATCAACAGATGAAAATGATTTGACAATTGAACAATGATTCCTGTTGCTTACAAAGTATGTCAGATTTACTTATTAAAGGTCTTACAATGCATCTCAAGGGTCATGGTCATTGTTGCAGTTAAGCTGCAATTTTAGTCACATAAGAGAACGATTTGATGCGTAAGGAAACAGTTTGTTTTATCCTAACTTGGGGTGACTGTGAATATTTATCCATTTAGTGACAAGCTATAAAAATTACTAGTACTATACTCACATTTCAACTTGAATCCGAGACTTTCATTCCAAGTATATAGAAGAATGAAGAATTGACCCACTGGTAATTTGAAATTAATGTTTAGAATACAAAAATAAGGCTTATAGGTTTAGCTGTCCCACTTGGTTTTCCGCACTTTTTTCCTAAACGCTTGTAGATATTGAGCTGATTTTCGGTATGTGAGTGTATCTGTAATAGTTACATGATGACACGAGATGATGCATACAAAATATCGTTGAGTTATTGCACGCGAGGAGGCGTTAGCCTCCGAGTTTGCAATAACGAAACGATATTTTGTATGCATCATCGAGCTGTCAATCATGTAACTGATTTATCCCCTGACCCTTCATTTGACCTTTCCTCATATTTGGTATTGTCTTTGCATCAACTAATAAAGACTCTGAAACAGAACCACCTGATAGTCTTAACGTGAAGGGTTTTGGTATCCAAGTAACGATTTTCCAAATTTGGTAATTTTCTAGTACTGTACCACGTGACCAATTTTTGAGATAATCAATTCATTTGTTCTATGATTTGACGAAGATGGCAGAAGGAGTTCAGAATAACGAATTTTCAGCAAGCCTACGACGAGGATGATTTTCAGTTGAGTCAGGCAGTTCAGATGTACGAACTAAGTCAATCTGATTTAAATGGCCAGGACTTTGGGAATTTCGATATACAGAATTGGTGTTTGGAAGCGTTTCCGGAATTAAAACGGGAAAATTTTACGGAATGGACTGAAAATACTACTACTAGATTCGGAAAACCTGTCTCGGCTACTGAGATAAGTGCACTTCAAAAAAATCAAGAAAGTAAAAACACGCGCCGTAACACTTCATGGGCAGTTAAAGTGTTCAAAGACTGGAAATCTCAGCTTAACCAACAGCAACTTGATTTTAAAATCATTGCCGAAATCCTCACAAGAACATACCAAGAACTTACGTATACTTTATCATGTTTTGTGATTGAATCCAGGCGTGCAGATGGTTCCTCCTACCCCCCGAGAACTTTATATCAAATCTGTTCCGATATTCTACGTACATACGAGAGGAAGGTGTTCATGATATGAACTTTTTAGATGTCAAAGATGCCCGTTTCCATGACTTCAGGAAAACTCTAGACGCGCGAATGAAGGAGCTAGCATCCCAAGGAATAGGAGTGTCTATAAAGCAAGCGGATCCGTTAACGCCGGAACAAGAAGACGTCCTGTGGGAGAAAAAATTACTGGGATCGCATACTTCGAAGAGTTACATTAACACTGTATTTTATTACAACTGCAAACTTTTTGGACTCCGTGGACCAGATGAACACCGAAAATTAGAGGTATGTCAAATCAAATGTGGCGATTCTGATGGCAACATTGAATTTTGTGGGCGCACGTCAAAGAATTTCTCCGGAGGATTACACCAGAGAAACATTCTTGCCAAGACGATACGCCACTACTCAGAATCCGGTACACTCCGCGCAGTTTGTTTGATGTTTATTCACATTTCTCTGGTGGGGGAAGGATCATTCTATAGACGACCACTCCCGGGACCCGAACCACGTTTCGGAATCCATCCTATAGGGGTCAACAAGTTGGGTACCATTATCAAGACCATGTGTGCCGAGGCAGGGTTTGTGGGGAACTTTTCAAATCACTCGGGGAAACGGACCTGTTCAACGACATTGTTTCAGTCCGGTAAGCCAAGATTTAGTTAAATTGTCTTTAAAAAAGGAGAAATATTTTATGTTTGATGACGTAAAAGTATGCTAGTTATATCGTGTACGTGACTTGAATTAATAAGTTCAATATTTATTTACACTATAGGTTTTGAAGAGCAACAGATCATGGAGAGAACGGGGCACCGTAGTTCCGCAGTTAAAACGTACAAAAGGCAATCGGAGCAACAACTCCTTGAAGTAAGTCGAGCACTGGAGCCACCCCAAAAATCCCTGAAACAGTGTGACGACGTGGAGAAGGAAAATGCCATTATTCCAAAACCGGAGGATGACGGGAAGGAAAATTCTACTATTCTACCTAAACACCCTGAACAGGATGTGCGAATTCCTATGGGAGATAAAGCTATCCGCTTCGAGAATTGCTCCGTGTCAATGTCTTTTTTTGTAAACAGTGATTTCAAACATTTGTGTGGAGAAGGAGAAAGCCATTATTCCAAAACTGGAGGATGCCGGGGAGGAAAATTCCAATATTCTACCTAAACAGCTTGCACAGGATGTGCGAATTTATATAGGAGATAACGTTATCCGGTTCGAGAATTGCTCCGTGTCAATTTATTTTTTGTCGGTTTGTAATTTGTGCTCTGATTTAAACTATGTTTTCTGCTCCAGAAGAGCGGGAAATTGTCAATATTTTAGAAATGTCATCAGTTGTGTGAAATTTGCTATGTTTTGTGCTTTTTTCTTGTTTTAGTTAGTTCATTAAAATTTAGAAACGAATTTTTGTCTCATTTGCATAGCTCCTCCTACACCCTGTATCTAACAGTTGGATATCACTAGCTTTATATCACACATGTAATATTTAATATATCACCACACTTATGTTGATATGAGATATACACCCTTGTGAAGATCAAAGGAAAATCTGTCGGTCATGGGATAATGATGAATTACAGATCAAGTTCGTTCAGCTTCATTGATTTCTGACGGAATTACTACCTCTTCAATTTTTAAGGGTTTTCCGCAATTTTCTTCTAAACGCTTGCAGATATTGAGCTGATTTTTGGTTTGTGATTTTACCTTAATGAGTTATAGATCAAGTTTGCATTTCGTTCTGCTTCATTGATTTTTGACGAAATTATGGCATTTTCAATTTTTAACTAGATGCTGTCATGAGACAGTAATACCCGCACTAAGGTGTTTGCCTCTAAATGCACACTCCTTCATATTGGGCTTACCAAGGAAAAAGTCCAAATAATTCTATAATTTACACAGTACATGTATTCGTCAAATCGAGCATAAAATGCTCAGGTGACCATGTGACCCATGAACCTCTTATAGAAATTTCATATACTTAATTCATCACCAGTTTGAAATAACAGAATTTAATTAATGATGTAAATTAGGTTTTGATAAAAGGGGGGGGGATATAAATTTTTGGCCCATAATTGGAACTTTTTAAATTTACTTTCTCAACAACAAATAATATTTTTTTAGTACAAAGCGTTTTTGATGAATTTATCAAAATGTGCAAACTTTTTTTAGTATTTGATTAGGCAAAAACCTCCTTGAAAAGCCATACCCAATCAATTTTGTCACCCCCCCCCCCCCAACACACACACAATTTGCCTGTTTTTGAAAATAGGCCTAGATGGCAAAGTTATGTTAAAACATCGTTAGTTATGATAATTTAAAATTTGTTCTTGTACTGTACATGTATGTGAACACCTTGAAAATTTCTACATCACATTGGGCTTGCGTCACCCTACCAGTGCTAGTACTAGTTTTACCATTATCATTTTTAGATTGCACAAGCCATGTGACATGGTGCAGTGTTACATGTATATCAGTGGAAATTAATTCATTTTGTGTTATAATTGGATTATATTTCATGAAGTTGACAGGACCTATGACAGTCGGTAAGTACAAGTTTAACTATAGATTGGGGTAAAATAAACCGAAATGCAAATAGTTAGGTTAAAGTTTAAAAAGGATCAAAGATCATCGGCAATCTTCTATGCAGAGTTGTCGTTCGTTTCTCTCTCAGACACTGAATGTATGAGCCAATGCAGAGACATATGTCTCTGGCCAATGGTAGAGAGTGGATCATCAGATGCCACAATAGACGAATTTCACATTCTGAAGAGTTATCTCCCGTTGTCGACATTACATTCAGTTATAGGCACAGATCCTGGAATTTTTTCCCAGAATTTCCTGAGGAGCAAAAAAAAAAAAAAAAACAAACGAACAAACAAACAAAATAAAAACAATGATGGTGGGGTCCATGTTTTTAAAGGGGGAGGGCATCCAAAGTCATTTTTTATTTGCTTCTGTAAATCAGTATATAGTCCTATTTAAATAACTCTGCAAATTCCGGGGGGGGGGGGGGTGTTTCCAATCTCCCTAGCCGCTCCCTGTCCCTGAAATGACAAATGATCATGTGACTCCTAAATAGTAGAAAACTTTTCCATTTGACTATACATAATTTTGTTTCTTGTGTTATTATGTTATGTATATCTAATGGTTTAAGGTTATGAACCCCTGGAGGTCATCCCCACTCTCTTAATGAACTGGAAATGTTCATAATATGACTACATCAAATTAAATAAAAGTGCATCAATGATAAGATTACTTGACATTTCATTCATGAATTTGGGTCAACCCATGTATCCTCCTAGAATTAGGAATGAAAATCATTCAAAGAGATGGACCATTAAACTATCTGTATATATTCAGATTTTTTTTATGTCAAACCAAAGTATTAGACTAGTTTGCATACATGAACAAACAGGGGTCTGGGAAGGGGCAAGGGGAAGGAGTTATCTCTTTACGTCTTAATTGTTGAAAACTCCTAAAATGAATGTTAACCTCAAATCCGACTTGTACGACTTCATTATTTTTAAGTGGTGGTGTCTCCGTATGAGTGAAAAATTCCCAAGAGGGACATTTAACAACAAACAAACATTAATGACTTAAAAAACACAATATACATGTACATGTTTATTAGTCAACGGATATACTTCTGATCATATCTCTAGTTCTCCCTTGAATCAGAAATGATGATATAAATATTTTAAGAATGATTAAGAGTTGAAAAGGTTGTGCATTTTAAAATTCACTAAGCTCTGTGGTTGAATTAGCTATACCAGTTTAGCTTATTTTGCTACTCAAAGCACCTTGATTAACTATTTTTAATCATACTGTTTTCTGAAATGTGAAGTTTTTTCAACATGGATACAAGTCATACCTTTTCAGCTTCTGAAAACAATGCATGAAAAAAAAAAACTGCTTTTCAAATACTGTAACTCTTTCCAAGTACTTGTGATCATCAGTTTTTAGCTCACTTGAGTTTTTCTGGTTTTCTGATCACATTTTGTTTGTCATCCATCTGTCCACCTGTAAACTTTTCACATTTTTGTTTCTTCACTAGAACCGCTGGGCCAATTTCAAGAACCACTGACACAATAAATTTAACCTTGGTCATAGCTTCTGAATAATAAGAGATAGGGCTTTCATATTTCACATGTACATTACCTACAAGAACTTTCTAAACATACCATGATTTTTGAACCCATGACCTTGACCTTGAAGTTTGACCTACTTTTCAAAAAATTTAACATTATTTTAAATGATCATTTTGAAAGAGAAAAGATAGGGCGTTCATATTATACATGTATATTACCTGTGACAAGACCTTTCTAAATATATCATGACTTTTGACTCTGTGACATTGACCTTGAAGTTTAACCTACTTTTCAAAAATGTTATATTTCCTTATAACTTTTGATTGAGAAGAGATAGGACTTTTATATTTGACATGTACATTACCTGTAACAAGATGTTTTCAAGCATGCTATGATTTTTTTAACCCTTGACCTTGATGTTTTACCTAATTTTCAAAAATTTTAACTTTGGTGATTACTTTTGAATGACATATGATAAGGCCTGCATATTTGAAACAATATGTCATAAATAATGGCATCCCATCCACTAGGACACGGAAAGCAGGGGACCACAATTCTTTGAAATTGCTTGTTAGTCATTTTGATATGGAAACATCCTCATATAGTGTAGATTCAAGTTTTTTATGCCCTGCCATGAATATGGCCGAGGCATATAGTGTTTGTCATGTCCGACTTCAATAAAACGTCATATGCTGATACATACTGATGTAAGCTTTTCAACTGCATCAAAATTTTTGACCTTGACTTTTCCTTTGACCTTGACCTTACTTTTCTTAAATTAGTGTCTAGATCAGTTTTGAATAAACAATTCAAGATATATTTATCAAACTTCATATGCTGATATATACTGCTGAGATATATCAATTGCATCAACTTTTTTGACCTTGACTTTTCCTTTGACCTTGACCTCACTTTTTTAAATTAGTGTTTATCTATGTTTTAAATAAACCATTTCTGATATTTTTATTGAACTTCTATGCTAATAGTAAATACATACTGATATAAGCTTTTCAACTGAATCAGCATTTTGACCTCAACCTTTCCTTTGACCTTGACCTCTCTTTTCTCAAATAAGTGTTAAGCTCAGTTTTAAATAAATCATTCAAGATATTTTTATCAAACCTAATATGCTGATATGTATTAGTGAGAGCTATTCAACTGCATCAAAAACTTTTCACCTTGCACTTTCCTGTGACCTTGACCTCCCTTCTCTTTAATTTGTATTTTGCTTAGTTTTAAAGAAACAATCTAAGATATTTTTATGTAAGCATTGCACTTATACATAATTTTGTGAGAATTTATCATCTATATCCATTTTTTTTTCGATTTTAGTTTCAATTTTAAAGAAACTGTTCAAGATATTCTCATCAAACTTCATACACTCTAACAAATTTTCATGTTGCATTTTAGTAATATACATTCGGCGGGGCATTTAAGTCCTATGGACATATTTCTAGTTTTCAAATCATGACCGACGAGGATAGGGTCAGGCCACAATAAGGGATCAAAGTTTTATAGAGATTTAAAAGGAAAAAAATCTCCAAAATTCTTCTTTTTAAGAACAACAAAAGCATGATTAATATGGAAACATTCCCAAGAAGTGTAGATTCAAGTTTGTACAAATCATGACCCCATGGGTTAGGGAGGGGCCATTTTTTTCCTGCCCCTATTTGCTATCCACATGGAAATGCAAATTTTAAAACCATTTTACACATCCACAGGACAAAATCAATCATCTTCCAAATGATCATGATTTAAGGCTAGTGCATAACATATAAGGGAAGTTCTGGGAACCAGGATGTTTAAACATGTTAAATATTTTTTTTAAAAAATTTGACCCCCATTTGACCCCCAGGGGGAAAATAAGAATTCCGAAACCTTACTGCACATCTATAGGACACCACCAACTATCTCCCAAAAGATGATTAGGCTACTGTGTAAAATGTAAGAGGAGTTCTGGGAACCAGGGGCTTTTTGCATAAAAAACGTCATTTTTCGACCCCTATTTGACCCCCAGGGTGAAAATGAGAATTCAGAAACCTTACTGCACATCTATAGGACACCACCAACTATCTCCCA